AAGCTGTCTTAATTCAATTAGATTAAATTAAATTAATTTAAGCTGTTTTAATCAATTCATGGAATCACTGAATGGTTTGCATTGGAAAGTCTTGAAAGATGATGTGGTTCCATCCCACCGGCTATGGGCAGGGACATCTTCCACTAGACCAGGTTGCTCAAAGCCCTATCACACTTCTTTTGATGCAGCCCAGGGTACAACTGGTTTTATAAGCTGCTAGTGCATGTTTATGACTCATATTCAGGATAAGGTTTCTCTTCAGTTTGTTTTGTTAATTTTACTTTGGTTCTACTTGGCTGCTGTTTTGGGGTTGGGAGGTTTTTATGGGGAAGAGGGGAAATTGGTGATGACCACTGTGGTTGTTTTTTTTTTTTTAACCTAATTTTGATAAAAGATCATTTCTCCAATTGCAGCCCTGAACTGAACACATAATCCAAGAAGCCAAAACAGCATCCTATTTCACTTTTGGTGATGAATACTATCTCTTTAGTTGAATGACTTCAGATTCAGCTCTGTCTTAAGTTTAATTTACCATCCAGTATGGAAAGTATAAAAACCCCCATGTCCACAATGAAAAAAGCCTGTGTAAACTACAATTTTAACTCAGAAAACAAGAAGGCAAATGAACTTTCATTACACAGGTTGAAGGACAGGGGGAAAAGTGAAAGGTAGCATTTATTCTAGATGGAAAAGCCAATGTAGAAGTTCATTATCTCTTATAAAGATAAGAATATCTTTTATCTTATAAAGATAAAGAACGGGTACTGACACTTTCCCAAAGCTACACTAAAACTAGCTATTTCAGAATGGGGTTATGTGCATCTCTAAGGAATAAATACACACTTCACATGCTATGGTGAACTGGCCTTCACTGATGAAAACAGATAATTTGTATGGTCCTGTAAAGTGCTTTACATGGGATTAAAACTTTTGGAAAGTAAGTAAATTACTACTTTATAAAAGTGATCTATTTCCAATTGTTTTCTCTCCTAAGAGACAAAATCATCACTTAAGTTCCTAACTCACTGAAACAGAAAATAAAGTTTCTGTAACAATAATTTGTTTTTCCTTGGTACACTGCATAGCTTAAGTACTCTATCATAGTAGTCTAGATGTCAATTAGAGACAGCAGCTCAGACAGTGTGTTAGAAAACCATTAACACAGTGACTCAGTTCTCTAGAGACTCCAATTCAAGTTGTGATTTCCCATAAAACCTAAGGAAAGAGTGTAAACAACAATTCATGAAGTGCAGAGACTTGGTTTAAGGCCCCAGTTTTAAATTCCTTATACAGCCAAAGTAACTGTTGACTCCAATGACCACTGTGGAAACACTTGGAATCTGTTTGCATAATTATGGCACACTTTCCCTATGGAGACAGATATTCTTGCTTAGGGACCTGCCAGCTTTTACTTCTGTGTCATGGGGTGCCTTTACCTTTCAGGTGGTTTTGGGAGCTAAGGAAATTGAAGCTGCTGGTGGCTGATGGGAGTCTTTCCTCCTGACCAATTCTCAGTCATTTCTAAGAATTGACAGCAGTTTTGACCATTAAAAAGTGAAGTCAACTTGTAAACACCTCCTTAAGATGTAAAGTCAGAGCACTCTTGTCTCTCTTTGTTTCCTGGCTGTGAAAGGTAACAGAGCTCCGGCTGGCCTCCCGTTCCCTGCCC